AACAACAACAACAACAATAACAACAACAACAACAACAACCACTACTACTACTGCTACTACTACTGCTACTACCATTACTACTACTACAACTACTATTCTTACTGCTACTATTACTGCTACCACTACCATCATTTTTCTTTTTCTCGACCAGTTAAATATTTCACATTGTTTGTTTGAAGTCACTGAACTTTTTTATAATGAAACTTCCAACAAAATTTAAAAATTTTTATGCGTTAAAGCAAATCTATTTCATAAGTCTTTTCATTGAATACTAACATTTTCATTTCGATTTTATTAGCATCAAAAGAAAAGTGTGAAGTGAAGCCAATAATGATACGATTGCAATGTGATTTGTAATAAAACAATCCAAACGAGTTAAATAGATTGTATGATAAAATTCTGTTTAAAGTCACTTTAAAAGATAGTTTGATGGGAGATAGACAAGAATGATGTAGCTGATGTAATATATCATTATACAGTAATTTTAAAGTTAAAATAATTTTGAGCATTTAAAAAATACTCAATCAATCAAAAAGTGATAAAAATAAATCTAAAGAGTTTTTTTTGTTCCTTATTGTTTAAAGCAAAAAATTTTCAAAGCAATTCGCTTCATTCTTTATTGATTATACTATGAAGCACTAACGATTAGTCAACTAACAAACTTCTTCCAATCTCACTTTTCCCTTTCGCTTAATTCTGTTTGAAAAATTTTGCTTTACGTTTTGTTTGTTTCATTTCATTTTGAACTTATTTTTAATTGGAATTTCATTCATCGTTTTCTTTTAAAATATTTTACTAATTTCACTAGAAAAAAGATGAAATTTTGTAACCACGATAAGCAAGGTTGGTTTGGAATCTCCCTCTTTCCCTCAATTTACCTTTCTCTAACTTCTCTTTCTTCCCTTTATTTCTGATTAATAAAAGTGATTAAATTTGCGATCCATTACAACCTTATCATATTATCATACAGATCAGAAGAATTCTCTGCTTTGTCTTTATGAATAGAAATCACTTTCTTCAACATTACTCTCTCCTAATTTTTTATGTGATGAAAAAAATTAGGATCACAAATTATCGCACAATAGCAGTTTATAGCAAAGTATCGGAGGGGAAAAAAATTTTTTTAATTAATATTAAACATGAAATCCTATAAAGTGGAGATTTTCCGTGCTGTCAAAAATGAATATTTTTTTTTTCAATTTAAATAAGAATGTAGCTATCGTGGAAGAGTTTACGTGAGCATTTTTAATATTATTTGTGAAAAAACAAGTTCATTTTGATGCTTTATTTATTTTATCAAGAATTATTGGAAAGTTTATTTTAATTTAATTCTGAACTTTCCTACTTTCATTCATCGTAAACGTTAAAACAAATCGATAGGGCATTGCTTTATGATTGTTAGGACAGTTGATGAAGCTACGATAAATACAGTGTGACTAAAATGTTTGCAGTTTTATCTTTGCATTCGCTTGCTTATGATCATGACATAATAATGTAGGAAAAGATAAATATCATTTTCAAAAAAAAAAAAAGAATAAATTACAAGAAAGAGGTAAGTGATGAAAACGACGGGCCATTCTTCGATGACATGAATTTGTAATTTCACACAGTAATACGTATGGAATTTTACACATTACTTTTTTTCACAATTTTTGACAAATTGCTTCTTTGCCTAATAGTATTTTTTAGGTGAAGAAGAAAACAGCTGCCGGATAAACATATTCTCAATCATTTTAAAATTACGATATATGTGCTCACTAATAGTTTATTCATTTTATGAATATCTTTCAAGTAATGATTAAAAGTTTTACAAAGTGATTCATTACAAAAATAAAATGGTCAAATCATTTTCTTTGTCATGTTTGTGAACAATGAAACTTATGATTTATGCTTTAAAGATTAAAATGTATCTTTTAAAATATTTTATAAAAGTTTCAATTTCTGAGGTTTATGCAAAAGTGAATGGATGGATATGAGCGGAATTTTATGAGATTTTTGATAGTTTATTTTTGATAAAAATGATGAAAATTGGAAGTGATCAGTGGAAATGGTGAATTTACTGATCAGGTGATGATCAATAATGGAATAAATTGGGAATTTTGAACAAAATGTAATTGGAATAACTTTTTTTTGTGAAAAAATTTAAGATGATCTCATTCATTGCCATTCATATTTCAATATCATTGGATCTCCAACTATTCCCTATGACATTATTTTTTAAATTCTCTTCTCTGTCTCTTTTCATGGGTCATTGTATCTTTCAATTTCCATTCTGTGCCTACCTGAGGTAGCCTCATTTAACATAGTGGTGTGTATTTGTTTATGCACACATACACACATATGGATTAGAGGATGGATGTGTGAATAGTAGTACTGGTATTGATGTCACATTTAAATGAGATGGTTGGGTGGAGCATGCTGAGAGAGAGAGAGAGAGAGAGAGAGAGAGAGAGAGAGAGAGAGAGAGAGGGAAAGAGGGAAGGGGGAGGGGAGGGGAAGAAGTCTGTTGCTGATGTCTCCCGTGGTGGCAGTAGCAGAGTCCTCCGAAATGTTCGGTTACTTCGCTCAGTATAGCCGGAAATTACAGGAAGTTGCTAATCTGAAATTATTTGCCTAATACCTGACCGGAGATACTTTATTAACCGGTAATTGCTACCCTCTGTTATTCTTCGTATCCATTGAGTTATTATTCGTTTTAATATTTCTGAAAATCAGAAAGAATTGAATTTATTATATTCGTAATCGAAGGGAAGTTATCATCAATTTGTTACATTCGAGAAAGATTTTTATAAACTTCAAATATTTTGCTTGATCATTGATATCATCCATCATATCAGCTCATTCATCAGGAAATTCAATTTCTCTTCCAATTCAATCTTTTCCTAATAAATTAGTCTAAGATTTGAAATTAACCAATCAATTATTAATGCTACACGTGGTCATTTAGCCATGTTTATTTTGGTGAAGATTATCGTGAACTGATTCTCGACTAAATTTTTCGTCCCATTATAATCAGAAAAATGGAAAATTTGCGGAACCGTGTTCAGTCTTGTTGGTGCTGGATCAAAAAATGTTGCAAAGATGTTTGGTCTGGGTTGACTTGGTTTACGATGAGTTTGTTAGATTTGTGTGGTTTAACATCACTCTTTAGCGAATCCGAAGCTGCTGGAAAGAGTTGTGATATCGAGCGTGGTGTTGCAACAGGTGGAGTGATCTCTGAATTGAGACCAGGACATTTAACACGAATGGGTGATAGTACCAAGAAGATAACTGGTGGTGGTGGCACTGGAACACAGGTTCATAAGGTTTGTTCCTGTGCTTTTTACGCTTTGCATAAAAATAGAATCGTAGAAATTTGAAATTTGGAAGTCAGAAGATCATTAGATAAACCGGAGGTCGAACAGCTTGAGGATTGTTATGATGCTTCTATTGTAAAAAAAAGCTGACGTTATAGCTATAGCTTTTCATACTTTAGTATTGTATTCCTATGTGGCTATAACTATCTGTTTCAAATTCAGTTTATTAATTGCTGGTACTGAGAAGATTGAATAGCTCTATCCTTTCTATTGTTTGTGAATTTTATTGATGATTAGGGAGATTGTGTGAATTTTATTGATGATTAGAGAGATTAGGTGATGATTGGGTGAATTATTACTTTCAGTACACATTATGCACTATTATTTGTCATGAAAATATCAAAACAATTGGGATATGGGGTACAGTTGTTTCCTCCTACAGATAATGATGATTGCCTAGAATATTAGATAAAATAATTGGTTACGGTTGAGTGATGAAATTAATTTGATGTATTTGAGATGTATTTGTAATAGATGAAAGATTGGAATATAGATAGAGTTGTGATTGTTGTTACTTTTAGAAAGGATCTATAAGGGGGTAACAGGATAGGGAATTACAGTATCCTTCCAGTTTGGGAAAATCGAAATCGTTCTTACATGGAAATAATTCGATGATGAGTTTTATCATTGTGATACTATATGATAACGTCTTGAATTTAGTTACGGCTAATAAATTTCAACTTTAACATTTTTTTCTTTTTAACCATAAAGGATGAATTAGTCTGTGTAAATTCATTTCATTTGATGAAATTTCTTGGTAAAAATATCTTTAGGATATAATTAAGAGTTAAAATGAAAAAGAAAATAAAGTTTCTCTCGTTTTGTCTCTCAGAAGGAGTAGAGGAAACTAATTTTTTATTAAATTGTTTCAGTTTAAATTTTTTAAGAGAGACGAGCCAATTTTTTTAAATTTCCTTCAATCTGTATTTATTTGAAACATCCATTAATTGAAAAAAAATTCAAACTGAAACAACTAATAAAAAAAATTTTTATTAATTACAGGTGATAATGGTTGGTACCGGTGGTGTCGGCAAATCAGCGTTGACTTTACAATTTATGTATGATGAGGTTGGCCTTCTTTTGATCTTTTTTTTCAATTTTTATTATTCATATCTGTGTTTCTGATTTTTCCAATAGTAAATGAGCAACATGAGAAGTTAATATTACTTGAATCGGCCAGAAATGTAACTTGATGTCTCTGTTTCTTTTACAAAAAAAAAAATAGCTAACATCGCAGCTATTATTTTTGTCTTTTTCACCTTCATACATCGTCATTCTACATTATCAGCAAAGAATTGGATTTCTGAATTACTTTATGTTTCAACGGAATCTTCGTACTTTCATTAGTGAAAAAATGATGACTCAAAGAGATGAGACGGTTCTTTCATTTTCGAGGTCTTTATGTTGTTTTGCCATACGTTTCCTTTGCACAATGAATAATATGTAATTTCTCCTACACTGTAATTGCATTCTTGTTTCTTGAACATCAATTGAGAATGAAGGAAATTAGAAGAAGGAAGCTGTAAGCAAAAAAAAGCTGAGGGAATGCTGAAGGAAGAGAGAAGTAAGAAGATAAAATCTGAAAAGAAAAACAGAAAACGAGGTAATAAACATTTCGGCATTTCCTATTCTTGTTTTTTGAAAAATTTTTGCAAAATTTTTTTATTGTTATAATGATTTAAATGACAGTCTTATCGGGAATGAGGAAAGGAATGATGAAAATTTTGTAAGCAGGAATGAGGAAAGGAAAACGAATTGTATTTTTTAGTTTCCTTTGTTTTTCTTCCGAGTTTTTTAATATTAACTTTGTCAGACTTCAATTTTTTAGAATAGTAAATGTTCGATCAATGATAGCGAGATAGGTGGAACGAAAGATAATTATGCAGATACTAATATAATCAATCTCCAAAAAAAAATATTGGAGGCCTTGACATATTTTTCAATTTTTAATGTAACATTTTGAAAGTTCACGAATTATTGTGGGAACGTAAACTTTTTTTTAATAGATTAGGGCGGAATGAAAAATGAAAAAAAAAAACTTCATAAGCAGAAATGAGAAAAGGAGGACGAATTGTAGTTTTTAGTTTTGTTATTTAAGATGTTGAAATTAGATAATTTTTATTGAATTCTCTCTTCTCCCAAAAATTCTTTTCTCATACGACAAGTGTTGATGTTTTTTTAAAACAAATTTGATCCGCTTCATTTTGCCTTTCTTTGTTTTTTTGCATAATTAGATTTTAACTCATTGCTTAATCGGGAGTTCTAGCAAGGCTGTAGAGGAGAAATAAAACCGATAGGAAAGCGGTTGGGTAGACTGTTTCGATTTTCAGAACTGATTGGGAGAAGAGGAGAGAGGGGAAAGAGATTGAGGGGTTAGGACAGTTATGGCTTGTTTTTGTTTCTTTTTTTTTGTTATTTACTGTATTGCTTTTTTTGCATGGAACAATGGCTCCTGAATGATATCGGTTTTCTTAATGGATTGCAAAGAATAAAAGGAGAGGTATACTACTGTTTTTTCGAAGAGATCATTAAGTCTTTCTACATTCTTTTCGTTGAATGTCTTGAATGTCGAGCATTTCTGAGATAATAGCATGATCCATATTTTCAAGGACATTGATATACTATTTTATTTCTAGTTGTCCATTAAAATTTTATGATTATAATGCATTAAAGAATTCCCTTAGTAATACCATCTCATCTTGCAATATTGTCTGAATTGATTTTGTTTAGGTTAATTTGCATTACAGGTTCTTGGTGAAAATTTCGCAAGTTACTTCCTTTTGTTTTTCATTTTATGAGAGATAAAATGCTTATTGGGAAATGATCAACCAGCTTTGCTTATTTATTAACATATTTCTGTTCATAATCTGTTTTTTTAAACATATTTCTGCTTATTTATTAACATATTTTTGATCATTTTTGCATGATGACCGTATTGTACAAAATGTTCTTTATATACCCTGGATATATAAAAGTTTACTTTTAAAAAAAAGCACAGTTTGCTACTTTAATCTCAACTTTACTTCCCTGTATTATTCTTGATACTGAATCTTTTGGAGCAACAAACGAATTTAGTTATTCTCTGTCGCTCATTTATTTAATCATTGTTTATTAGTTGTATTCATCATTACTTGCTAACTGCTTCTATTATTACTATTTTGATGCTACATTTGATTATGGAGCATTGTGATAATCACCCTCTGATTATTGATTGTCGTGGTCGATGTTCAGTGTCTAAGCTTGCTAATATTCTTTTCAAGCCTCTAAATGAAATCTTGATTCTGGGAGACGTTACTTCGGCTTTGTGTTCTGAATAACACATCTACTTGATTATATGTTTATGTTTTCCTGAGTCAATTTTTGGTAATTCTATAAATCAATTTATTCGAAGTACTAGTACTGGCTTCGTGCGATCTGAAGCTTATGACTTCAATATATCATATTTTTTAAAGAAATTCATTTTCATCAATCTAATAAGTTATTCTTTTCGTTATAGTTCGTAGAAGAATATGAACCAACAAAAGCAGATTCGTATCGAAAGAAAGTTGTACTGGATGGCGAGGAATGCTTAATTGACATTCTGGACACCGCTGGTCAAGAAGATTACTCGGCAATCAGGTCAGTGAACAAATTCTATATTCTTCTCTTAATTTTTTTCAGAGTTAAAGATTTGTTTTTGTGATGTACTGAAAGTAATTTTTAGACAAATTTCGGAGAGAAAGAATTGGCCGAATTCCAGCCAACTTATTGAAATTTACTTTTCGAAAAAACTTTTGTTTTTTCATCCAGTTCTGAATTTCACTTAATCTTAATAGCAAGTAATAATTACAGAGATAATTATTACCGAAGTGGTGAAGGATTTATCTGTGTATTTTCGATAACTGATACTGAATCTTTTGAAGCAACAAACGAATTCAGGTTATTCTCTATCGCTCATTTATTTAATCATTGTTTATTAGTTGTATTCATCATTACTTGCTAACTGCTTCTATTATTACTATTTTGATGTTACATTTGATTATGGAGCATTGTAATAATCACCCTCTGATTATTGATTGTTGTGGTCGCTATTATGATTATCACCGCCATGATTTGTTTACCTTATAACTCGTTTTATTATGTTCCTTTACAGGGAGCAAATATTGCGCGTTAAAAATTCTGCCATGGATTCGTCAACTCCAATAATGCTGGTTGGAAATAAATCGGATTTGACGAATGAACGTTCAGTAATGCAATTACATGCACAGCAGAAGGCAGAGCAGTGGAACGTGCCATATATTGAAACGTCTGCCAAAAATAGGACTAATGTTGATAAGGTACTATTTGCTCACAGTTCATGAAAATGTGATTGACGGAGTGGTAAGACATATCGGAAAATAATTAGTACTAACTATCACCAAGTAAAAAGAAACAAAAAAGTTCTCCAATACTCTTATTATTTATTAATTTTATTGGTAAAATCATGCGGTATTTTAAAATTTTACTCCCTATCATAGCTGCTTCCTGTATGGAAAGGTAACTCGGAAATTGCCATTAATTAGAGTGATGTCAACGAATTTGGAAGCCCAGTAGAAATATTTTTGGACTGGTTATTTATTCATTTCAAAATCTAAAATAAATGAAGCATTTCAGTGCTTTGTGTTTGTTTGACTTTTGTGTTTAGTTTCAATTCTTGTTCCCTTCTTAATTTCTAGATGGGCATTATTTACAGCGATAATAGAAAAAGTCTTTGAACTAGTTGTAAAAATTTCTCTATCCTAATCCGTGAATGTGTTCTATTTTTCTAATGTTTTGTATATGCTAGGAATCGTAGCTGTATGAATTAGACAAAAATTCATTTATAGAATCAAACTTGATGATTGACTAGAGAAAGTATCTCTGAAATATCACTGCAAAAATGTCGGAAATTTTAATTCTAGGTGTTTTATGACTTGATGCGTGAAATAAAACGGAGAAAAGGCGGTACGTTGAAAGGAAATGCTTCCGGTGGTGATTCGATACCTCGCGACAAATTTCGTAAGAAAAAGCGATGTGATATATTATAATATTTTTGAAATATTGGTAGCAAATTTACTCGTGGCATGAGAAACTTTTCATTAAACTTGTGAGATTTGTAGGGATGTCTCTGAGGCCTTCTGGCGAAATTAGCTTATTGCAGTTTTATTCACTTTTTATTGAAAACGTTACATATCACTAGGGACATGCTGTATTATTATATTCCATTTATAAAATTTTATAGTTTTGACGGAAAATTTATACGTCGGTTTTTTATGTTATATTTTAATGACAATAGTTAGCTTTATACTGTTCCTTTTTAAGAAATTGTTTTCTGCATTTGCAGAAATATTCGAAGTTGTTTCATTTCTCTGTACTCTTTATGTTCATATTTATTATACTCTTTATGTTCATATTTATTATGGCTTCTACATCTGCTTCATTTTCGATAGGAAGAGTCGATTTTACTGTTTTGAATACAAATATTATTTACATCGGTGGCTTAAAGAAGTGAGATTAAGAATGAGAAGTGAGATAAAGGAGATGACTGTCAGGGAAAATATATTTCAATCCATTATTGCCTCCTATTTTATGCGTAAATTATTGTGGATTAAATTATAATCAAAATTGTATTTCTTATTTATAAAGATGAGTTCTGAGAAATATTTATTTGAAATTCTTCCGTCCAAATGTGTAATATGTCTTCTATCAAGCTTAAAAAACTCATTCATTTTTTCTTTTTTCCTAAATTATTTTAATTAACAATTGTACTCTCACTATTATATGAACTTAAAGAATTTTTAAGTTTTATTGTTCTGTTCACACATTGTTGTCTAAGGTGCAGTTTATCCTTTTTGTTATTATATTATAATTAATTATATTTTGTATATTTAAATTACCAAACTTCAAATTACAAGAAAAATAGCCAAGTTATGCATCGTATAAGTTTAAAAATTTTTCATTATTAATCTGGAATATCCAGTGAATTTAGAATGAAACTTGACTATGCTGTTTAACATTAAGTGCTTTATGACTCATTCAAACTCATATGAGATCAATCTAAAATAGCAGATTACGATGAATACAAGAATTTTTCTTCTGTCGTGAAAAATTCATGATTATATTGTTTCATAGACAAAAATTATTATAGAGGTTCATTCTTTGTAATAATATTATATAACAGTTATAGTGTCAATAGACGAACCTTTCTTCCTGATTATTGATGATCATCTCGAAGTCTGAATGAAAATTGGTAAGAAATGTAATTGAGTTGCTGTCTAGCAGAGAGTACAGTCGTCAAAATGCTGAATCACTAGCAAAAGTTACATATATTGTCCTTTCAGTCGGTAAGCACTTGATGTTGCACCTGAACAATGAAGTGATGAAGTGAGTTGATGGACGGAAAAGAGTCATGTAATCATTTGACAGATAAAAATCAATTGCAACAAAGAATCGTTCACATAAACAATAGATAAAACCACTGGTTAATCAACAACCATTCACTCTATCATACAATTTATCATATCTTTCGGCTTTCGTTCACATCTCCCAATTGGATTACAACATTAGCAGGATTGCCCACCAATCTGTGTAGCTATGTTTTGGGGATGTAAAATTATTTGGCAATGATGTACAATTATATTGGATTGCCGATATGATTCATAAAACCTGTTGTTCACTATGCTTTAGATCGTTATTCCCAAATATGGATGGGTAATTATTGAGTAAATTTAGTGAATTATAAAAATATTGTAATGTTCCTGTATTGAAGTTACATTATAATGAACAATAATTGCAAAACGCAATATTGAACTCTGAAGATAAATTTAGATCCTCATAGGCTTCATAGGCCTTAGACTTCAGTTAAATATGGATTTACTATAGAAAAAAACGTTACTGCGGTCTGTGATTCAGTCATCGAAGAAGAAAGCGATGTTCCTTGAAATCTCATAAACGTCATCTACGTCGGACCGTGACGTATTTATTGAGGATACTGCTGAAACGGGGCTTGAAGAAGATATGTATTCTTGAGGAAATAGGAGAAATTAGAAAATATCGTCGACGAAGATGTTCCACTGATTGAAGGCAAAAGACAACAGGAGGCGAGATCAAAGGTTTCATTCTCTCCCATTCAGTGTTAAATTACTGCAATGTTAGATTTAACACATTTCTGTGAATTGGAGGTTTGGTATTTCTCGGTCTTTTTGGTGTTAACAGGAGATTTATATGGATATGTGTAATAGCCAATGAAACAGTTATCATTTCAGTGCTAAGGTTTAGTGTTTCGTGCTTTTCTGTGTCCATCTACATTACCGTTTTCTTTTGGATATCATTTTTTATCATGAAGTTTCATCAAATAACTGGTTTTTGCGTGTTCTTTATTGCATCGTAAATTATTCTTTTCATTGTTATCTGAACAAAAAACTGAACCCAAAGTAATTCGTAAATAGTTAATTTTTCATCTCACACTAAAACAGTAAACGGAATCAAAAATTAATTCATTCTTTCCATCCTTCCCAATGATTAATTTACGAAGCAATTATTCAAAACTAGATATCTTTTACTGCTATCTTTTATTGAAATCTATTTGCTTATTGAAACAGTTCACATATCTCATGATAATTATTGAAAAAATAGCTGGTTCTACCACGCATGTTCTGCTTTTTTTCCCTTTGATTAATGTTTTCTTTTGCTTGAAGCGTCTACATGATAGTCGAACAATTTAGTGCATCACTACTACCATTTTAATGCATCAAAAATTTTTTCAGAACAGAAGTAATTTTGAATTGAAAAGTTTATATCCTAACCGTCCTGTTCTTGAGCAAGTACCTATTTATGTGGTGTTTTGTGAGCACTGGCCCCATGTTGGGAAGTAAGAATCGATTTGGAAATTGTCCATTTTGGTGGATTTTTTTTGTTACCATACTGAACGATAACTGCTTGGCACATCTTCTAGCACCAGCTATTCTCTCCACAAAACTTCAATTAAAAAGTGACACGGTATAATTTGCTTTTTTAAAAAATTCGTTTGAATTTGCTCAAAATGCAACTTTTGTTATGTCCGTTTGGGTTTACTGGTGCTAATAATGGCATGTATAAAAGACCATCGTTCCTTTGCCCTTTTATCATATATTTTATTTGTTATGTAGATCGAATATGTTGGTTTTCCGCAGTCAGCACTCAGTGGTACTGAAGTGGAAATACGGCTTCAGTGTGCCGATGATTCAGATTTGACATTTCAAGTACAGTATGTTATAAGGAGTTCTCCATGTGATAAAGAGTTTTTTGACGCCAGCCGACATGTTCAAGTAAAAGATTTATTGGTGAGTATTACTTGTATGTCTGGGATTCGATATTCTAATCTATACAATTATTACTATATGATTAGTAGTTCCTTGTAGTTTTAACTTTCTATTTAAAATAATTTCGAAATTTGATTTTTTAATACAATAATATAACAACACTGAACTTTTCTATCATAATTTCAGAACTTTTACTTCGAGCATGAGTTTGAGATACCTCCCGGATACGATTACACCAAGATTTTGTTCTACAAATCTCAGCCACAGCAGTTCAGTTGTCGTCAGTCGCATGGCGTAATACTTCTCCGAGAAGATGAGGGTCTACGTCGGCCGTTGGAAATACATAATGTCAAACAGGTATGAAAAGTGACATTTCCTCAGCAACTAACATTAAAGTTCACTCTTCGAAAGGACTAGGAAATAAGCTCTTTCGTCATGTATTTGCTCAATTAGACGGAAAAGAAGCATTTTTGCATTCGACTTTATTATCTTTATTTATTTTTTTTAATCTTCATACTTTACCAGGCAACTTCCAAATATTCAAATATCCTAAGTCCAACTACATCTCATTTTGTACGGAATCAACAGCACATTATTGGTCGACGTCAGCAGATAGAAAAAAGGTTTAAACGTGAATTTGCTGGTCTGAATGGTGATTCACTAGATGGTGGCACTAAAGCTACTCTTAGGTAAGGAAATGTTCCTGCTTGGGTTGTATCAGTATGTTCTTCATCCTTATTTTGATCATTAAAGTAAAAGTTATCATTTCTTAAATGAGACAGCTCAAGTTCTTCTATTTTATCGTGAAGAATCGTGAGCTTTTTTGTTGTTTTTGTTTCTGAACTTTCATTTGCAGTTCTTGGCATCCAGTGCAGAAACTTCCAGCTGATGGAATATATTTTTTGGTAATTAAGTTTACTGTCATAAAGTCCAATTCATTTAAAAAGACCGCAGAAGGTATTTTTTTTCTATTAACTGAGTTTATCTTGAAACTAAAAATATTGAACAATGGTATTTTGAAAGATTTCCTAAGCATTGTACCAACAGACATGAGTAATTCTTGCATCTCAATAACAAAAAAAAGAGCGGCTTTCTCTTATTTTGCTGTCAAGAACTTGAAGTGTTACTTTATTATTCAGCCGACTGAATGCTGTATTATTTACATTTTAGTACCACTTGTCCACAATTTAACAGTAGACGTGCAATGGCGTAGTCCTTATGGACACTTAAGTGCAATCGATTATCCGCTTCTCAGATTTTATGCTTTTATGTGGCTTTTTTATGCTATGCTAGCTGTCATTTGGTTAGTTGATCTTTTTCCACTTTGTATTTCTTGAAACTTTAGATGTTCATTAGTTTTCAATTTATTATGGAAAAAATTTTTGCTTAGGAACGCGAAAAGTTAAAAGAATCATTTAAAGTTTGGATTTCAAATAAAATTGGTTAATAAAGTTGCATACACTGTAAAGAAAGTGAATACCGTATTTTGCGTATGACATCAATTTGTAACTCTACAATTCCTTTTTTAACTCTTCGTTCATATTTAAAATGAAAAATTATAGTGTGCATTCTATTCTTCTATCTCTTTTTTCCCCTTTTTCTGTCTGAAGATTTGAAGTTATTCATTTTTTCAGGTTGGTATGTTGCTTACGTTACTGGATGGATATTTTGA